AAACAGGATCAGAAATAGGAGGAGAGTTGGGATCTAATAAGGAAAAAGAGAGGAAAACTGAGAACGGCAATCAAAAGACGAAGATAATCATAACTGCGGTTCGACTCCAAGAATAAGTCGTCGAAAGATTGAGAAAAACGTGTAAATCGACTCGAAATAAGAATAAAAGAAAGAAAAGATCGAGAAGAATTTGTAGGGCATTTCTGCTTCACTCGACTCGGCACAAGGATGACAGATCAAGGGTAACCAAAGAGAGGCAGAATTAGTTTTTCATATCAAATCAGCTACTGAACGAAAACACTTAAGAGGAATGAGAGATCTGCAACTAAAGATCTAACAAGGGAAAACCGCTAGAAACTCATCCAAAAATTCCCAGGAAAACCGACGAACATACGAGCCCCAAGCATATTACCCAGAAAAACAAAAAATTCTTATTTTGAACACAGCAATAAATCGAAAAACAAAGAAAACTTACTCATACTCATGATGATTGACGGAGAAGTCCTGAAAGATGCGAGAAGAACGTCGGAAAATGAAAGGAGCGCCGGAAAGCTTGAGATGTTGTATTTGCCGAAAAAACAGAGAGTTCAGAGAGTCTGAGTGCGAAAAGTGAAGACGAGAAAAGGGGAGGAGTAGTTATAGGGAGAGCAGAGAAACCCTAACCCTCAGATTAAAGTCATATTCAACGGTTGAGATGGTGCACGGAATACGAAGCGGTGAAGAGAGAAAGCGTCTTATTAACGTTCAAGACCTTATTTTTTGAATTTTGAAATTTGAAAAGATTTAGACTTATCCAATCAATTCGAAATTTGTTGAATAATAAATTCGCTTTACGAATCGAAATAGCAAGCGGGCGCGACTTAGAGCAACGACAGGCGACAGGATATGTGAAAAGATTCGAGTGAGACATTCAGTCGTCAAAACTTACTCTTAAGCTCAGAATCACTTCGAGTAATTTTTGGGGGGGACTAGATGATATAGCCACACTGTCGTATAACGGCTCATATCATCACGGTTCAGAGATTACCGAGTCGACTTACGCAAAGTCGACTCTGTCCGCAGATTCTTTATGATATCTCCGGTCAAGGGTCCCGGCACTCATCTAAGTCGACCTCCACATGTCGACTAGCATAAGTCGATTTCCTCCGGGACGACGGTCAAACGTGTCAGGACCTACTAACGATTGAATATGACCCAGTCGACTCGAGTTGATATCCCAAGATGTCTTGAAGCTCATAGATCTCGACGACTCCAGTACACTTCAACATATCGAAGGAAAGCTGTTAAGGATAAGGAGAAAACTACCAAAGATAAGGAAGAATCTAGATGCTGACTAGGAGGTGGACGGAATGCGAATCGACCAGGGTATTTTGGACATTTCCAGTAAGTCGGCCACGGCATTTTGGGGACTTCAGGTAAATGTTTTACTTCTATATAAAGGAGCTGAGGTAACTCCAAAACCCTAACTCCCATTCATTCTATACTTTCCTCCATTACTGCTGCTGCTCTCAGGACAGCTTCCTCCATCTCATCTCTTTCACATACTGACTTGAGCGTCGGAGGCTCTACGCCGGAAACCCCTCCGGCGTTGAGTTCTTGCAGGTTTTCTCGTGGTTCAACAACGGTTTGGAGGCTATCGAGTCAGATCGGAGCTCATTCCCATCTTCATTCCAGATCTGGACGGTTTTCCATCGGTTCACTCCAGATCTGAGAGGAGACCCATCACCCGGTCTAGTATAATATCTTATATCAGAATTTTTCATGTTTTAAAAAAAAATATTTTTAAAATGGAATAAAATGTTAAAGAAATATTTAAAAAAAAAATATTCAGACTTTGCATAAACTTGTGGAATACTTAGTCTTATTCTATTTTATAACTAACATGATGTGGAAGGTTAAAAAAATATTATATAAAAAAAATTTATTATATTTTGTTTGAGTTTTATATTTCAATGTTAGTTGCACAAATATACATTTCACTAAAATTTATTTAAAAATAAAATCTTTAGTATGATGAATGTTGGATTTAAAAAAAAATATAAACATTAAAATGTAATTAGGTGGTCATTCAAAAAAAAATTAAAAATACATAAAAATCTCCAAATATCCGAACTGAACAGTTCCGATAGTCCCAAATATCGAACTGAACCGAACCGAACTGAAAAATAATAATCTCCGAACCGAAACGAACCGAATTTTTGGTACGGTTCCAAAAATTGAATTTTAGTAATCTTCGAATATCGGTACGATTGTGGAGATTTTTCAATTTCCAAACCGATACCGACCAATGCTCACCCCCAACTCGTTAAATGTAAATGTTGAATCAGGGCAACTTCATCTACGATTTTGGTATGCAGTGCACACCATTTGTAACAACCTTTGATATATAAGCCCCCTGCCCACTCTCAAACAGATAAATTAGAGCTATTTGTATATACTGCGGTTTTTCTCTAGGGTTCCTTGCTTTGTTTCCATCAATGGCCGAGGAGAATCTAACTCGATCCAAGGGCGTCGTGTCCAAATTCAATGACCAGAAAGGCTACGGATTCATCAAACCCGACGAAGGCGGCGAGGATCTGTTTGTCCACCAGACCGCGATCAAATCCGACGGCTACCGCACATTGCGCGAAGGCCAGGTGGTTGAGTTCACCATCATCCTGGACGGCGACAAGACCAAAGCCACCGACGTCACTGCCCCTGGCGGCGGTCCCGTAGATTTGACCCCTCGGAAGGGTAACAACAGCAACAGCCGCGGGGGTGCTGTGTACGGATCATGTGATCGGCGGAACGACGGCAATGGATTTGGTTATCGCAGTGGCGGAGGCGGAGAGTGTTTCACCTGCGGCCAGTATGGGCATTTGTCCAGGGACTGCACGGGCGGCGGCGGCGGCGGCACCTGTTATAACTGTGGAGGCTACGGGCATAGGGCCAGGGAGTGTCCCAGTGGATCCCGCAGCAGCGGAGGCGGGAATTGTTATAGTTGTGGGGAGGCAGGGCATTTGGCGAGAGACTGCATGGGTAGTGGAGGAGGTGCTGGGATGGGTGGTTACAGCCGTGGAGGTGGTGGTTTTGGAAGGTTTGGGGGAGGTGGGGGAAACTGTTTCAACTGTGGGGAGTCTGGACACTTTGCCAGGGAGTGCAAAGAACCCCATCGACCATGATGATTTGATGATTCCTTTATCTGCTTTGGTTATCTTTATGTGCTTTTTTACATTTTGATTTTTAGACGATTTAGTATGCAGTTTATTGGTTTTTTCTTGATGGATGGCAGTTATAATATCTCAAATGCATTTTAACTGTAGTTGTACTTGGCTGATAAGTTCACTGGCTGGTTGTTTTCCAAGTGTTTTATTTATTTTTTTATTTTTTTGGTGCTTCAATGACTCGATATTAATCACTCCGTCTTTGAACTACTTTAATTGTGCTGAAGCTGGTAGATTTTGGATGCCTATGAAGGTCTATTCCTTTGCCCATTCTTCTTTCATTTGTTTGAATGAGGGCTACTGCTAAAAAGTTCAATTTTTACAGCAGTGAAACTTTACGCAAGCACACTGCTATGCTAAAGACCGGCATGTGATCTGTGCCAAATGTGATCTGTGTAATAATAGTTTGCCTTGGCAATACATATTTCGGAGATTGGCTTTGTAGAGCTTTATTCATATGAAATCTGAGGTTTCTTTTAAAATATTATTCCTGTTTGAGCAACATGATATGAGTTTGACTGGCCGATTCTTTAGTTAATGATAATCTGCCCTTGTTTATGTGAGATCTCTCAACGTCTGATGAAACTTCTTAAATAAAGTTTCTGTTTATCAAACTTATGTTACTTTACTTAGTTATGTACTTGCTTGCTTTAGTTTGATGTGATACTAAAATAAGCGTGTCTTAATTATTTTGTAGTGTTTTCCTAGAGATGATTGATTCTTCTAAATCTTGTTATCTTTTGTATTTCCGTATGTATTTAGTGTACATTCCATATTGCACAATCTGTTTTTATGCCCCATGATTTATTTGGTACTGTAATTTTATCATCCTTTGTGTTTCCATATGCAGTTATATAAACCTCATAGTGCAGAATCTGGTGTAATGCACATGATATTTGATAGAGGAAAAGTTTGGATCAGTGAATAATTAAAGTCTAGTTGCATTGATGTTTGGTTTGGGGCACCTATTTAATGTTCCATGTATGAAAAAAAAACTTATATTCCTGAGGTTGACTCAGATTTCTGGTGTTTGAGGTTATGTGCATGGGTGCCTACTATTTTGAGTTTGTGCCTACTGTTGTATTGTATCTATGAATGACTATGATGAATTGCTGCTAATGAGTTTCAACAGGATGCATAACTCGATCATATTCCTGTGTCTATGAATTGCCGGCAACTGTTTAGTTTTGAGAGCTCATTTCAAAAGCTGGCTCCTTATCAATCCGATATCACAAGTGTTGGAGATCCTTTACAGTTCTCAATTTGCATACTAAATCTAGGAACTTGAGGACTTTGAGAATCAGTTCCATTCCACTATTTCACCATCCCACCTGATGATTATTGTGACTTTCAATACATTCTAATGCATGCATTAGGGCTCGCTTGTTTATAAAATAATTTGTCCAAATTATGGTTACTTGTTAGTGAGATTTTAAGAATGTATTGAAATAATATTTAAAATAAAATAACTACAATTGATTTGATGTAAAAGTATGAGATAAATGATTAAATGATTGGAAATGATAAATATTAAAAATTGTGTGAATGAATGATTAGTGAATTAAAGTTGATGTGATGTGTAAGAATGATTGGTTTATATTATTTAATTATATGAATAATATTAAAGATAGTGGGTTTGAGTTAAAGTTGAATTAGATTTTGAGTATAAATTAAATGTGAGTGAAATAATTGACAAACAAGCATGCTTAACATCTTTCTCTTTCATTGGGATTTGGATATGTTGTGGGTTCCATAAGAAAAATGCTACAAGTACATAAATGTACATAGAGGTGTACATAACACTCACATGAAGTGGGGTTCACTTGATTTTTTATTTTTTGTGGGTCCTACTCAATGTGAGTGTTATGTATACTCCTATGTATAATATTATGTACTTATAGCATAACTCTTTCCATAAATTGCCTCTTCATAAATCAACCAAACACTAACAACACAAGACTAATTAAAATTAGTCATAAAGGCAAGCTAAAAACTAACCCATAGAGAAAATAACGCTTGCCCTATTTGCCGATTAGTGTCATTGCTACCAGCACCCACAACCTAAGCACACACACAACGCAACAAAAGTGAAGAGTACAACGGAAGGAAGATGAGAACAAGGATTCAGAGACGTTGGTTATGGGTTGCACAGTGGCAGGGAGGCTGCAAATTGAGACACGGTTTTTCATTCATTTGTATTTGAGACACATATCAAGACTACTGTGATCAGTGAATAACATATTCGTTAATTCCTTATTAACAAGGCTTACTC